ATGGTGTGCCAAATGACACACTGGTGAGAGGGCGCCATCATATGCTTCCTAGAGAACGCATAAGATAGGATGTCAAGAGAGAAACTGTGGTACTGCATGAGGAAGTCAGGAGTGGCAGAGAAGTATGTGCAAGTGTGAGAAATCAAGCTCAGTAGAAGCTGTGTGTGAATTAGCGGTAGGCAGGTGTAACAGTGAGGCTACATGGAGCAGAGGTAGTGAAGGTGGATGAGGATGTTCCCCACGTTCATCACAATATGCTACAAAAAACAAAGAAAAAGGATTGCACTATTACGAAACTGCATAAGCAAGTATTGCACAGTAAACAATCAGAGAGGTTTCCATTGTAATCTTATCTTTGTGATAACTCTCTAAAATGTAGTGTAAAGAACGGGTTGGGCGGCTGAATATTTCAGCGAGTCTGATAATATTAACGTCCCTGTTATATATTTCCAAGAGACAGGAACCTACTGAAGAGAAAGAAACAACCCACATATTTTCAGTACTTTCAATGAAAATGATTTCTTTTTATATAAAGCTAAGAGCAAGTCATGTTTGCTGCACTACTCTACTAATCATTTTAAGCCTTTTCTTTCACCCCCGAATATATCTACAGGCCCTTTGGCACAAAGTCCAGGGTTAGACGGCTGAATGTCGTCTCACATATTTTTCGTCATTAGCGGCTTAGTGGGCATGAGACTGCTGTCAGTGAAGCAAAAAAAATAAATAAAAAAAAAAGAGAGAAGGGGGAACTGAACTGAAAGAAGAAAGTGTGGGAATAGAATTAAGGCATGTGATACTCGAGTGAGAATGGGAAGCTTATTAATTTGTGAACTCTTTTAAGGCCATTTTCAGTTCAACATTTTGACCATCACCACAGCCTTGTTCTTTATTTCCCCCCTACCATAAGTGGGAAGGGGATCAACTGAGAAACCGAGGATGTGGTCTTATTATGCTGACTTTTCAGTGAGAAAGTAAAAATATCTCAAAGAAATCCTGCGAATTTTATTTTAAACAGGACCACGATTTACATTTAGGTCCATGTGTTTATGTCACATTTGTAAAAAATTTTCCTCTACATACATTCTATAAAAATATGATCTCAGCTTTTATTCAAGCGCTTTAACAAAAGTATAAAGATTTACATCCATCTTCATGCATAGTGCCTCATTTTCAGAAGCTTCAATAAGATTCAATTTGGATGCAAATCTTTCACAGCCAATGCCTGCCTGAAGCCCAGAGCCAATGGACAAGTTGCAAACTTCTGTTGCTTTTTACACTTTGCTTTGAGTCATTATTTATTTGCCCAGTGAAGCACAGTCTGATCAGTTTTGCAGCATTTGGCTAAATCTGAGCAGAGTGTATATTCCTGTACACACAGAATTCATCCTGCTACTTATACCCGCAATCATCAATAAACCTTAGTATCCAGGTTCCCCCATGTGTGGTATAAATGGCATAAATAGCTCAAACTAAATAAAAGCAAGCCTGCAAAAGTGGGTCTTAAGTTTCTTTTTAAAGGTATCAGCAGTGGCCACAAATCTTAAATCCAATAAAAACCAGTCACCAGTGGTAAAGATTAGTGCTATCATATTTTTTTATAAGTTCTAATATATTCAGACCAGAAAGTCAAGGTTTCTTAATAACAGCATCTTTACTGAATGTTCCCTCATCCTCTTGACAGTAGAATAATTCATTTCAATTTAATTCAGTTTTATTTATATAGCACCAAATCGCAACAAGGCGTGTTACATTTTAGTTTAAAGACCCAACAATAATACAGAGAAAACATGGGCATGTGCTTTGGCCACAGTGGGATATATATATACAGTATGCAATACTTTTGTGATTTGGTCATCTCACGCAGAATTGATTTTAAATCCTTTTTGGATATAGGTTCATGAGTGCCTGATTACACTACGTGATGCTATGAATAAAATGCATTAAGCTAACCACTATATGTATACAGGTATTTAACCCACTCCTGAAGGATGGCTTTTGTTTTGAAGTGTTTTAGAAGGAAAAGCTGTAAATTACATGGAAAGTAAACTGGGTCAAGTGTCAGGTATAGGTGGTGCCATGGACTATCTGTCTCGTTTCTCTTGGAAGGAGACAGATAGGAGGCATACTCATCTTGCTCTCACCTTACCCCTGTCTGCTCTACTGAGAAAGTAAGTCAATATAGCATTAGGAAGCCTATTATCATAGGCTTCATCTGCAGGTATTGCCCCCTGCTGGTTATTAAAAATAATGCAAGTTTGTGCACTTGGGCAATGGTGCATTTTTTTCAGACCAAGTGGTCATCTCTAATCCTGCACACATAGTCTGTGCAACATAGCACTGTACATTTAACATTTTGGTAAAGTCACTATCACGTCGAGAGTGAGATTAGAAGATCCATTCGACTCATGTCTGATCACAGACTATATGGCAGAGGTGGGCAACTCCAGGCCTCGAGTCCTGCAGGTTTTAGATATCACCTTGGGTCATCACACCTGAATCACATGATCAGTTCGTTACCAGGCCTCTGGAGAACTTCAGGACATGTTGAGGAGGTCATTTAGCCGTTTGAATCAGCTGTGTTGGATCAAGGACACATCTAAAACCTGCAGGACACCAGCCCTCGAGGCCTGGAGTTGCCCACCTCTGCTATACGGCTTAAGCTTGAATCAAGTCAGCATACTCAGCACAAAGAGTGGAAAGAAGTGGAACCTGCTAGCCTGGCTCCATCCAAATAACATATACCCATCAGCACCATTCACTCGCTACATGTTCGATAGGTCAGTGTAATTTCAGAACCCTGAACGTGAGAATGTGTTGAATCTTCAGTGTTTTTTCCACTTTAAGGATAAGTGCTAAGATTTCATTAATGTCCTTATCTTTCAGGCGCTAAAGGGAAATTTACTTGATTATTTTCATAAAGGTCACAAGGAGCTGTTCTGATGCAGTAAACCCTTTAACGGGAACCAGTTCTTGCAAAAGGCTAAAGCTTGTGCTCACAATATTTGACAACTATTGGCTGACCCAGTCATGCTGGAAGGGATGAGAAGGAGAGTATTTCCCAGGGAGCCACAAAAAGATGGTATAAAGGGTTTAGGGAGGTCAGTTGGTCCATCGCTGTGGCCCAGTTCCTCACATGAAACCCTTGTTTCTTGTTTGGGAGAAATGTGTTAATCCCCAGGGACTCACTCTGGGCCCCAGCAAACCTTTGAAGGAATAAATAGCCCCCAAAAAATCAGCTTTTGTTCTTCAAACCAGCTTTTGTACTTTTACTTTTGTACCTCTCTCAGAGCTTGTATTTAACAGACCGGTTATGAGCTATTGTATAATAACTGCCACTATGACACAGTTTCCTCTGGAAACATTGTATAGCAGATGATATATACACACAGTGGTCTTATAAACTATGTAGTCCTTGAACCTGCCAGTATGGAGCTGTTTTCCTTTTGTGTGTTTTTTTATTGGACATGCAGTGTTTAAATAGAGGAAGGATCTAGCCCTGCGTGGGCCTTCTGATACCTGATACAAAGCCTGTGTGTGTGTGTCAAGCTGCAGGATTTAGAAAAAGAGCACATGATGTAGGTAGTCAGATGATGAAGCTATACCTTACATAAGAAACACCCGCAGTCACTCAGTAAATAGCATCAGCTGAGGGAAGGGCGTAGAGTTTAAGTGCTCTGCAGCCCTCTAGTCTCTAATTTAATCTTCCTGATGTCAGTACACTATTTCATCACCTTGTCCTTAATTGAACTATGGCTTGGTACCATTTACAATTAAACTTGTAATCCAAGATTACAGTCCTGGCAAACTGTTGTTAATAAAGGTAACAGCAAATAGCTGTAGACCCCAGACAGCTTACACTTGTGTCATCACTACTTCAGAAGTTGGCAGGAGCTGTAATATTTAAAATCAGAAAAAGTAATGTATGTTTGTTGTTGTATGTTGTTTTCAGACTCTCCAGTAAGATACTGATAGTTTCTTTGAGGGCCAAACTCATAAAGAGTGCAGACAAGTTCATAAACAAATGAAAAGGAAACTGGAAAACAATATAATCCCTGCTGTCTTACCTCCACACTGTGGTCAAGTTGCAATGAAAAATAGGTGTGAATGTAGAAAGTCAAACAGTACAGGAGACACATGTGTGAATAGTTTTCAACACACCCAGGGTTGGAGTTTCACTAAAAAGAAACCCTGTAGTATATTACAAATTACTGTAATTACTATGTAATTACTTGCCGGAGAAAATAATGTGTTACACTGATTATTATATTACTTGAAATACATTATCACATAATTATCAGTTAGCAACATAAACCTGAGGCTACAGCCCCACACACCATTACATCTCTATCCTAAAGAGGACACACAAGATCTTTTTTAGTTTTTAAATATAAACGCAAAACGGACAAAAACAAAGCAAATTTGAAAACAAGCCTAAAGAGTTTTCAAAGCGATTCTACTTTTAAAATATGTGCAGATAGAAATGAAGGTCACACGCCTGATATCGCTGCCTTGCTACCAACTGAAGAACAGGCTCTGGATGCTGGACCAGAGTTTGCATGCTTCTTTGCTACCTTTGTGTTAGCATGCTGTCTGTGCAGAGCTGAAGTTGTGTTATCAGTTTTATGCAGCTGTTTCTGTCCTGGACATTTTGCACTTTCACATTTCGCTCTTGTTTTAATTAATATCCAAATCTCCACTCCTCAATAGTTCCGCTGCTCCGGTCGACTGATTTATCTCCTTCCTACACAAAAACCTGCGTACCTTGACGTTTGCATGATCAAAAAGTCAGTACAGCTCTGATATGATGGAAAGAGACACTAACAATAAAAACGAGAAATGGATGTTAATACATTGAATAACTATAGCAGAACGAATGCCAACTATAAATACAATCTAAAGAGTACAACTTGAAAATTGTTAGAATTAATATGTATCCTGTCTCGTGTCTTGCTGCCTGCTTGTCATCTTTCTGCCTCTTTCTTTCTCTCCTTTTCCTTCAGATCTTTGTTTTTTTGCTACAGTAAAGTCTGTGTGAAGGCGAGAGGAGGAAGGATGGTGACATCGGAAATCCCAGAGGCTCCCGTTCCTCTGACAGCGCTGTCACGCTGGTACCTGTACGCCATCCATGGTTACTTCTGTGAGGTGATGTTTACTGCAGCCTGGGAGTTTGTGGTCAACTGCAACTGGAAGTTCCCTGGCGTGACCAGTGTATGGGCGCTCTTCATCTATGGCACCTGCATCCTCATTGTGGAGCAGATGTACCTAAAGCTGCGCGGTCGCTGCCCCGTGCTGCTGCGCTGCATCATCTACACTTTATGGACCTACCTGTGGGAGTTTGGTACGGGGCTGCTGCTGCGCCAATTCAACGCCTGCCCTTGGGACTACTCTGAGTTCCGCTACAACTTTAAGGGACTGATCACGGCTGAGTACGCGGTGCCCTGGTTCTGCGCATCCTTCATTGTGGAGCGCCTCGTCATCCGCAAAACGCTGAGGCTGCGCTTTCATGAAGGGCCCGAGGATGGTTGGTCAAACCATCAATCTGATGCTGGGGGTGGCCGAGGGAATGGAGGAACTGTGGGGGGTGGGAGAAGGAGAGAGAGGAGCAGAGGGATGGGAAATAATTCTAATGGCTACCTTAAAGCAGAATGAATCAAGGAATTGATAGAATGACACAATCCAAACCAGCCCAATCCAACCCTCCTTTTCATAAGCAGTCCTACCCCTCAGCTGTGTGAGATGAAGACACACAGCTGTGCAGACTGGGCTGGTATGCAGACAGCCAGACAACAAACACCTAACTGGGGCTTTAAATGCCCAAATCACACACTGTTAACACAGGGGTACCGTTAACTACATGCTGCTGTGTTTGCTGCATTTCATAACGCACCACCCATTTCCATGTGGGCTTGACCTTAAGGAGATCAGGGCTCTCTCTCCTGTCCCACAATGTTTGGGTAAAAGAACTACTGTTGCAAAAGAGTATGTGTGATTGTCCTGTGGAAGAATTAATTCACGAACAAATACATTATTAATGTTTTTCAGGGGCACATCAGTCTATATTAAAGCAGAATGCTTGCTGTGTAGAAATCATAGTAAAAAGTAGCTTGGTTGTGAAATGTCCTTTTTAAAATGTACATATTGTCCTTTAGTATTATTCAAAGTACTGTAGTAATGTAGCTACAAAAGGATCCTTAAAGGTGCTGTATACCAGCATTTTATTTTGAAAGGTCATTCACGGCTAAAAATAAGGAGCTTTTGCGTGTGACAGGAAACAGCCTGCTGGTATGATACCACTATATATGTGCTTGCCTGAGTGAGGTGGTTAGCAGTGACTGAACTTTCAAAATAAAATACTTGTATTCAACACCTTAAGAGTATACCACCCAGGAAGCAATGCGCCATCTGTCAGCTTATGTCACGACGAATGTTTCTCTGCAGTTAGAGAATACCCACAATGCCTAAAAAACAAAAAACAAAAACAATGCATGAAAAAATTGTCTTCCAATATAATGTGACATTTTTTTTACAGAGCTCATTCAGCAGCCATACTGTGTGTCTCCACAATCAGTCTGCTGCTTGTGTGTTAATGACAGTAGCTCAGAAGGTGGAGCTGGTCCACCAGCTATCAGGGTTGATTGCCTGTTGTCTCCTTACTGCATGATGAAGTGTCCTTGAGTGAGACGTTGATATCCAAACTGCTCCCGTTGAGCAGGTCATGGCCTTGCATGGCAGCTTCTCCGCCACTGTGTGTGACTGTAGGTGTGTGTGTCTGCAAGCTTATATGATGGCACTAAATAAATGCAGGGACGCCTTTCTGCTGTCATGGTTACGAGTCACGACCATCAGCATAAAGCACAAAGCTTCTCGGTAATGTGCTTTTTTTTTTTTTTTGCAGCTGTTCAAAAACGTGCACACGGCTCGCTGTCTGCATTTTGTTTTCTTTAATGTTGTCGAGGCCACACATGCCTCATGTATGTATGTAACTGTCATTCACTGGAACACAATACTCCTTCCTGTCCAGTTACAGTGCACACGTATGAATATGTTTGCTGAACAAGTGAAGCCTGTGAACGGAGAATCTCATGGATGGACACCGAAGGTGAAGTATTGAATTCCAAGAAAAAAACTTTTTTTTATTTTATTTACAAAGAGTCATCGAATTATTGGTCTTTAGGTTTCCATTTCTGTCCCCGTTGTTTTTGTTGCCGACTTAAGTGAAGGAGAGGAAGTGCACAGCAGAATTTGTTAATAATTTACTGAAGAAACACTCACTTTTCAGCCAAAATGGAATTAGTTGCTCATGTGTTTTATAAATTCATGATGTGTAATTTGACCTCTTTGGTATTACGCTGGATGTTTCCATGTGAGGCAGAGTGCATCAGTGGAGCCGTATTATCAGCGCAACTAGGTTAAAATGCTCAAAACTCTGACACTTTTTAACATTCATGTCTTAAAAGCAGGTAACCCACACAGAATAATGGTAGTTCTAGACGTAGAAGGATCAAGAAGTGCATACACTTGCCTCCATATGCAGGAAGCGATGGCATTCTTTCTATGTGGTGCTAACTGTTTAAATGTAAAAGAGGTAAAACACTTCACTTTGATTTCAATGTACTGGAGGACTGATAGCATATACTGATAGCATGTCATATAGAATATGATTGCTGAAAAGTATATGTTCTACAGGAAAGACACACTGTGCTTGATCAACTTAGACTTGAGCAGTTATTAGAAACTGATGGACTCTGTAAAACGGTGACCTTCATCTGTGTTGCGTCACTGAAATGCAGTGGCTTCCCTTCACTGTCTAAGCTGGGATGAAGTGCTGCCACCCGGTGGATACACTGAAAACAACTTTTATTATGCTACAATGGAAACTATAATGTGTAGAGAAAAACTTGTGAAAAAAACAAAAAACATGTTGTGGTTTTAACCCCATGGCATTTTTATCTAACTTTAACATGTTTATTTCATATGTGACTCAAAAGGCTTAAAAGCAATATAATCTATGCCCCAGCTATGTTTAACTTCTCTTTAAAATCCAATGAACTACAATATGGTATGCAGCTAATTAGTACTACTGCTTTAATGGAAGAAATTACAAGAAAATGCAAGTGTATTCTCCGCAATATGTGAATGAAGGCGTGCTGAGTGTGCATAGGGTGTTGTACAGAGACACTGTCTCTGTGTGTGCATGTAAAGTGTGTTAAAGTTGATACTCTGGTATTTTTACCTCCAGTGTGCATGTGCAAGTGCAAAAATTATCTCGTCAAACTCAGATTTTAACCTGCTGATTATTAGCCCCCCATGCACTGTAACAGTTGCTTTAAAGAAACAAACAAAAAAAGAAATGTACAGGTTTTTAGTGAAATCACTGTACTGTATATCAATCATTTTGTTTTTTGTTCATGTATGATTTATCAGTTGCTGGGATTAAATATATTTATTGGATCTTGATATTTGTTTGTATGGAACCTTTTTTTAATGATCTATGTCAACAAAGTGTATACATTTACCCACATTTCACTCAAAGACAACTCTGGATTCTTCAGGGTTCATCCTCGGGGTACAATGAATATCTGTACAGTAGCTCACAGCAGAGATTTCCCTCTGGATCAGGTCATGACTACTCCTGAAAAGTAATACAACTAAATCTTTTCTCCTGCTTGGCTAAAGACCCAGAATTAAAAGTAAATAGGACGATGAAATTAGTTGTTTTACATCCATACAGTTTGAACATAAAACAAACTTATATAAAAGGTTTTTTTGTGGGGGAACAGCGCACACATTAAACCCCCCCTCAGCGTTGGAAAACATCTGCAGTCTGAGATTAAGCAGGTGTAAGTCTTTGTTTGAACATTTGACTTCTTTACATCGAGCTAATTGCTGCTTATGCGAAATCACAGAGCAGGCCATCAAACGTGCTTTACAAAAATGCTCATATCCTCAAGGGATGAGCAACTTTCCCTGTGATTGAGTAACTGGTGCTCTGAGTGAGAACTTCTAGGTCACTACATGTTCTAGTGCTTTCCTTCAGGAAGATTTTCACAGGGTCACATCTGAAACTGTAGCAGACACAATCTCATTCTTTCTCTAGATCCACAAAGACACAGTGTAATTTATTCTGACCTCTATACTTCACCGTCAACATCCTCAGCATCAGTAACTCTTTCCCATAGCTTCATGGTATCATCACTTTTATCCCTCTGTAGTTATTGCAGCTCTGCATATCATCTCACTCTTAAAAACTCTTTACCAGTACACTATTTCTCTATTTCTCAAACATTATCTCACTTTCTAAGATTGTTTTTAAACAGTCTGGTTAAAAAGCCCACTGCCCCCTCTCCCAGAAATCTCCATATCTCCACAGGCATGTCATTTGAGTCAACCACCTTTCCGTTTTTCATCCTCTTCATAGCTTCCCTACTTCCTCCTTACTAATCCCCTTCACTTCCTGGTTCACTATCTGCTATCCCTCCTCCTTTCTGTCATTTTCTTTATTTTTATATAGTTTTAATCTTGCAAAATATTTTCCATCCAGGGAATGAGTAAAGTTTTTCAGGATTCTTCAAAATCTGTAGAATAAGGGTGAGTATTCTGTGGAAAACCTTCTTGGTTTTGTACCTGCTATAGAGAGACAGCAAAGGGATGCTTTAATAAGACTATCCGATTGTTAAGTGATGACGTGACGAATTCTACTTCCGGGCCTAAAGTAGTCGTTTAATATGGCTTTTGTGTTGTTAACATGTTTAATGTTATGTATTTTCTTCTATTTAATCTCAAAAAGCTCCTAAAACAGTCAGTGATCACTGTTGACCTACCTCGGCTTTTATTACCGCTAATCATTTATTTAATTTTTAAAACCTTAGGATGTAACTACAGCCCAGCCCATGCAGCAGTATATGAATGACTAACCTCGTATTGTGGATGGATTATCTCAGTTGTTCTCCTGGCTGAAGTTTGGTCCTTTTACAGCATCCTGCCATGCGATTACATTTGTTTCTGACCACCGAGAACACTCACGTTAACTTTTATCGAGTGGAAAAAAAGTTAGCTTGTTTATATTATGCTAAAGGGGCGATTGTGGCTCAAGAGTTGGGAGTTCGCCTTGTAATCGGAAGGTTGCTGGTTCGAGCCCTGGCTTGGTCGTTGTGTCCTTGGGCAAGACACTTCACCCGTTGCCTACTGGTGGTGGTCAGAGGGCCTGGTGGCGCCAGTGTCCGGCAGCCTCGCCTCTGTCAGTGCGCCCCAGGGTGGCTGTGGCTACAATGTAGCTTGCCATCACCAGTGTGTGTGAATGGGTGGATGACTGGATATGTAAAGCGCTTTGGGGTCCTTAGGGACTAGTAAAGCGCTATATAAATACAGGCCATTTACCATAACATAGCTGTTTCACTAGCGGTCATGTAGCACATCATTATATACCAGCTAGCCCAACTTCAGTAACCCTACAAACGTCACTGCTGTTTAGTTTTCTGCTGGAAGTGATAACAGAGCTGTACGTTTTAATTTGTTTCCAAAACCCCACAGTCAGGACATGCTATATTGTATTTAGATAGAAGCTAGCGAGCTAACTCCCTGCTAACTTCTAACTCCATTAAATGTCATAAATTCCGTTTTCATGGATGCCTGGATGTTAAACTCAATTATTATTTCTGGTAGAGCAGAACACTGATCATTTTATTAAAGATGAAAGACTTTAGACAGTTTTTCTACTCTCAGTAATGCCATAGTGATCGTTTGATATATGGACCTGCAGCGGAGTTTAGGCCCATACACGGCTAGTGACGTCAGTCTGAACAACCGGATTGGCTTGTTAGCGAATGCTAACTTTAGCATGCTAACATGCCCAAACACCAACTTAATGCAAATTAGCAACAAAGAAACACATACGACTGAGACTGGTATTCGTCATGGTTTTCTTCATTTTTCAAGGTTGTTATGATTAAACAGGTGAGGTGATGAAAAGTTTTTAAAAAACAAACATTCAAATGACTTTTCATGGCAAAGCACAAGCCTACAGTCTACAGTTAAGAGACCTTAAACACACATCAACTCAGTGGTACTCCAGGCTGTCCAAAGGTTTTTTGAAGTTTTTCTTTGGTCTCCTTTTCACTCATTTTTAGTCCAGTCGTTGTACTTGACCATTTTCAGAGGAATGCCTTTTGTTTGTTGAGCCACTTAACACTGACCTATGACTCATTTAAGCATAAAAACAGGACCATAAAGCAGTGTTGTGTCTACACCTAAGAACATAGCAACCAACTAGTACTAGTACTTGCAGCCTGTTGCAAAAACATACAATTTGTTCACATTTCTCTAGTTGAATCTAGAAAAATGCCAACTTTGATTGTCCTACAAGACACCTGGAGAA